AAATTTTTTATTTAAAAAAAAAAATAAATATATATATATATATATATATATATATATATATATATATATATATATATATATTGCATTAATCAGAACTAAATTTAATGATTAAAAATTTATGAAAACTTCACTAATAGTTTAACGTAAAAGTAGTTAAACGTATTAATGTACCCTAAATACATTGTTTTCGTAAGGATATTTGGAGCAAAATATGAATTTCAATGAGTCTGTGAATTTAAATAACAAATTCGATTTCAATGATTTTATCAATAATTCTATATTACAATACGTTGTATTCCATAATACATTTTTACGTCCCAATTAAGTATGGAAATGTTGTGAAAAAAAAGGAAAACTAAAATTTCTCCTGCCTATATGATTTTATAAATTCATATATATATATATATATATATATATATATATCTTAATCAAAATATATCATCTTTATTTAGGTGGAACTGGATTTTTAGGAAAAATTATCATTGAAAAGCTTTTAAGAAGCTGTCCACATTTATCGGCAATTTATCTTATTATTAGATCAAAAAAAGGACAAGATGCCCATCAAAGAATGGATAATATTTTTGATGATCCGGTATATATTTAAATTAATATTATTCATATAATTATATAATTATATTATTAAAAGCAAATCATAATTAACAGTACATACGATAATACGTATAATGGCAATGTAATATAGCATGAATATATTTTTATATAGAATACTGAGAATTACATTAAAGATATTTTTGTAGTAAAATTATTTATTTTATTTAACAATTGAATTTAAATTCTTGCTAAATATTAATCACCAAGCATCTCATAAGGTACAGACATATATCGAAGAGAAATTATTTTCATATTACTAAAATAAATATCTAATTGAATAATGAATTTAACAATTGCAAGAATAAAATTTATATTATATTTATATCTATATAATATAATTCTGTAGGTATTCGATCGATTGAAGGCTGAAGTACCTAAATTTCGACACAAGTTGGTGGCCATACCAGGTGATTGTACTTTACCTGGTTTAGGTATTTCCACGGCAGATCAAGAACTCATTATGCGTGAAATATCAATTGTTTTCTATATGGCAGCGACTGTAAGATTCGACGAGAAAATTAAAGAAGCCGTTATTACTAACATTATTGGCCCCATGGAAATAATGAATTTGTGCAGAAAGATTAAAAACTTAAAAGTTTGTTGATAATGAGACCATTATTTAGTGCACCAGTGGAAAAAAGAATATTTTAAATGATATTAAATGAAAATAATTATATATTATTATTATTTTATAAGTTCATGATATTCGTTAAGAAAAATTAATTAATTTTAAAAGTTCCGATAAAATTTATTAGTTCTTAGAATTAATTTAAAATAATTTACAATTAAAAATATCCATTGTATTATAAGTGATACGGATTTAAAATATTTTTATTCCTATTTTAAAAGTGAACAAATATCGATTCTTTATATTTTTCTAACTTTGATTTTTTCCCTCTTAAATTTCATATACATTATTTTATATATTTTCTTATTTCATAAATTTAGTTTTATTATTCAATATATTACTCTATTAAATGAATATTGATGCATTAGGCATTATCGTGTTACTCTTACAATTGATTAATCTATATAATAAACAAAAATTTATTACAGGCATTTATGTATACATCAACAGCTTACAGTAATTGTATTAATTCTGAAATCGATGAAAAATTTTATGAACCTCCTATAAGTGGTAAATGATATATTTATTATTTGCATGCCATTTTTAGTTATTAAATTGCATGAGCTAATAATGACGTTGTCAATGTAGCGGATAATATCGTTAAACTTATTAAGAGTTTGGATGATGATAAATTAGAGGCTATTACACCTATGCTGATCGGAAAATTTCCTAACACCTACACATATACGAAATGTATTGCTGAACAAGTAATCCAAAAGTATGGTAAAGATTTGCCAACAGGAATTTTCAGACCTGCCATCAGTAAGTTATTATTTTACATTCGATTGAAGCATTTCAAAATTAATTACTTCAAAATTTTTAAACATCTGTGATAATGAATTTGTAGTTAAAATTATCATTTAAAGGGTTAAATTAAATTTATTTTGTCAAAAATGTATAATATTACAATATTCAAATTGTTAAAGTAAATATGAATAAATACAAACCTAACAGTTTACAGTTTTCGTAGTATTAGAAAACATATGTTATAGTAATAAAAAAAATTTATAGTCAAATTTTTTTCTGTACTATTGAGACATTACAATTTACATTTAAAACTAAACATTGCTGAGAATTATAAAAAATTTTTAACTGAAAATTATCTTATAAAAGTATGATATTGCGATTTGAGGACAAGATCATACATTTACTATATTAACTATTAAAGTAGACTTGATTTAAAATATTTCTTTGCTATTATCAAGCATTCAAACAATTGTATTCTAATTTAAGTCATTTTTATACAAATAAATAGCGGATGGATAAATGATACTAATAAAATAATATATTAATATGATAAGATAATTATCACTAATTATCGATATTTATAAATAATACATAATTATTATAAATTCTTATAAGTATTAAAAGTTGTGATATTTTTTTTTTTTAATTCTCATTAAATAAATCATTGTTTTTAATTTTATTAAGAATTATAATTTTCTGCATCGATTTTTTCATCGCTATTCATCGATATTAGTCTTTCAATATTATACACTTATAATGTTGTAAAATTATAGTCGCAAAATTTTATTTTTAATTTGAAAACTTAAGAAAATGTTAAAACGTAGGTAAAAACAAGAGTGCACTGTAATATAAAATTTGATCATTAATAAATCATAGTTTATTTCGTGAAAGTATATATTTAATTTATAAAATTGCCAATGTACAATAGAATAGTCATTCTGCTTATATAGAATTGCGATATATATTTGAGAAAAATTTAAATCGTTTGTTTATCATAAAGTGACTAATATTAAATTCAAAAACAAGAAAAGGTAAAAAATGTAAAAATAAAGATACATGTGCGAGAATAAACGCTTTCTCTTAAGCAATAAGAACATAATATTTATAGTTTTTAAAGAAAACATATACAGATAAATTACCAGGTTTTAAGCTTTTAGATACATAAAAAAATCTCTAAATATTTCCAAGTAGCGATTCGCAAAAAAAAAAAAAAAAAAAAATATATATAATAATAAAATTATATAAAATGATACTTGATTATAACACTTAAATTTATTAATTATCGACATCAAATGGCAATTTTCTTCACGTCAATAAAAATTTACAATTTATTATTTTAAACTCTAATTTCATTATTCACGATTATTCTTGTATATTTTTCCGAAGTGCAATATATAAAGTTAAAACTAAAAAAAAAATATTATACCGAATTTGATGGCTTATGATATTCAACAGCCACATACGCACATAATAATATTATTTCTTAAGAATGTATACTTTAAGAATATATATATTACAATTTATGCAATACGAAGAATTTTGATTAATTATCAATGTATATTTCAGTATCATCTTCATACGAAGAACCTATTTCCGGTTGGGTGGGTAACTATTATGGACCAACTGGCATTTTAGCCGCTGCAGGAACAGGACTTCTAAAAGTACAAATAATGGATAAGGATAATATGGCTCAGCTGATACCAGCAGATTACACAGCAAATGCAGTCATAGCGTCAGTTTGGGATGTCGCTAATATTAAGTACGTGACGTTTTTAAATCAATTATACTGTGTACGTTATCATTGCAAGAGCAGAATTTAATATTAAATATTTGAAATGTAATTCTAATACGAAATCAATAATAGATGGCCCCTATTAATACGAAATATCAATTAAGTTAATATTGAAATTTTCGGTGCATAGAAATTTCAAATAAAAAAAATTATCTCCCACGTAAATAACTTAGAAAATGACATAGAAATATGACTTAGAATTGCTCATAAATTTATAAATTCATAGGTATTCCATAGAATTTAAAATTTAAAAGTAAATTATTATTAATATGGCGACTGTAATTTATGTAGAAATATTACTGTATTCTCAATTGTATATAAAATTTATATATTGCTATATGAATACACACACATATATATATATATATTAATATATATATTAATTATGAAGATTTTCGTTTACAGACATGTATTTTATATAAATCAGTAATAAGGCGAAGGAATTTTAAAAGAATTTTAAAACAGTTTCAATGTTTAGCAAATAACAATTTTGAAATTTAAAATTCTGTTGTTCTTAATCATTGCACTTGATTGATAAGTAATATTGTTTATCATAATTAACATAATTAAATAAAAACTAGTTATTTGGGTTTGCTCTATACAGTTTAAAAGTCTTAATACCTTTTAGCTAAATAGTTATTTGTTTTTTTAACTAATTAACTTTTTCTAGAAACGAAGATGCAGATCCAATAATATATAATTATTCGAATAGTCCAAAATCTAAACTGACGTGGGCCGATTATATGACAATATCATTAAATCATGGTAAACAGGTACCATGCATCAACAGTATATGGTGTTACTATGTTATCATAACAAAATATCTATATTTGTATTATATATTGGCATTTTTTTTGCACCTTATACCAGGACTTATTGTTGATGCAGTTTTATTCGTTACAGGAAAAGAACCGAGGTAAGAATAAATTTGAATGACGCTTTACTCAATATAATATATAAATATAATATAATATCTACAAGTACAATGTGTTATTATAATAATTTTTCTAATAATATTTTAATTAAACAATTAAGTTAATACAAGATAAAGCCTAACAATATAATAAATAATTACAATTGTTTTTATAATTTTTTTAGAATGATAAAAATGTACAAGAAAATTCATAAATTTTCAATGGCGACAGCCTACTTCACTCTCAGATCGTGGACATTTCAATGCAATAATATAAACCGACTTTGGGTTAAATTAAGTTCCGAAGATAAGAATATATTTTTCTTTTCAATGGATAATTTCGATTGGAATAGCTATTTACAAAAGAGTATTCTTGGATTGAGGCTTTATATATTAAAAAATGATCCAAGTAATGTACCCGCAGCTCGAAAGCGCATGGCAAGGTATAGGAAATTTTAATAAATATCTTTTGCATTTTCGACGACCTTTAAATTATTTAAATAAAATACAAATTTTTGTAACCTATTCTATGCCATTTACTCGAATTTTATCAAAAAATATATTAATTTAAAATTTTTAAAAATTCTCATTTACTTCAAGGAGCTTTGTGATATCCTTTGTGATATTTTTATATTTTATATCTTGTATAATCGTCTTTTATTATGCTGCTATTTTATTTCGTAAAACTTAATAATAATGATATTTACAATATTGCTTTGTTATTACTATCTAATTTCTCTCATATCCGATTGATAATAAAGAATACAAAATGATCTTAGCTCAAAAAATTTTCTTATAATAAATATGATTTTATTTATAATTTTAGGATACTTCTACTACATAAGCTCTGTGTTTACTCATTTGTACTATTCTCAGCGTGGATTCTCTATTCGATAATCTCCTTCACTTTATCAAATACAAGGAGCGAGTTGGCGACAGTTAGCGACGACATGGCCATCCGCTGAAATTAGTGAACAAATAGTATTGTGACGGTTAGATCAAAAGTAGCAATATTATTTTTAAGTTTTAAAAGTCTTTATGCAAGCGATTAATATGGGAATATTATTCCTTGTGCTAAAATATACGAAATTAAATTTAAACGTCACATTTATATTTTACCTGGTAATTCCGTGATGGATATTCATAGAATTTGATTTCAAATTGCAATCATCAGCTGTGAAATTCATTTTTGATCGCTTAATAGTGATCAAGTAAAATGATTTATGTCTATGTTCTTCGATAAGATGAGCAATATTCAAGGTTCATATGAGTCGAAACTTCCAAGAATCTCAGTATTTATTGAAAAGTTGTTTTACCACTGAATAATACTGTGATTATAATCATTTGAATATAATTAATAGTTTTTAAAATTATGAAGATAAATTGTAATGTACAAAATTTCGTATCGACTTATTTTATGTTAATGTTGTATGTTTATGATTTTTGTGCGTTTTATCATATTATTAGTTTAGAAATAATGTATTTAATCGTGAAAATAAGTGGAAAAAATTAAAAGAAATACTTGATCGTATTGTTTTAAGGCGTCTATTTCGTAATTGTTATGATTATTTATTTTATTAGAAATACTTGTAAATATCTCAAAACATATCCGCATAATAGATGTGAAATTATTTTTATTTTAAATAAAGTATCTATGATTCAAATTAATAATATACTATTTAATTATTACCTTGAAAGCAATAGAATTTATGTATTGTTTTTTATTAACGTGTTACAAGAAAATAATTTATAAAACTTTATAAATACAAAATTGCCAATGGTTCCTTCCTAGTATAGGCGTGAAGTAACCGAAAATAACCTCGGCCAATGAAAATATTTATAATTAAATATAATGTCGATGAGAGCACATACTTTATTATACGACAATTAAAGAACAAAAGTTAATAACAATCACCGATATATTAACTTATGGAGTGCAACGAACAACACAATATATATAATAAATTATGAAATTAAAAAATATTCATAATATCTCAATCTCAAATGTCTCATTATTTCCTTAATAATTTAGTCATAAATACAAATCTGACATTTATGCTTTTGAAGAAAACGATTATTTTGAATATATATTATCATTATACAATACATAAGATAAATGTAAGAATCTCTACGTAATAATGATCAACATGCCATTTTTTATAATAAAAACCACTTGGCAATATAAAAATAATACCTTTTAAGAAAATCAGATCAATAATATCTTTATTTGAAAAGAAATCTTAAATCTATGACGATTAATTTAACGTAATCCTGCCTTTCTTTATGTGAAATAAATATTTAACACGATATATGTCATAATTTTCGCGCAAAAGATAACGATGTACTTATTAACTCTGTGCGTAATAGAAAGAAAGAATATGAAATTAACAGTTAAATGAATGGATTAGTAAAGCCATTGCAATAAGGCACGCATTTGATGACTTCTTTTCTACTTATATATTAAACGCTCGCGTAGTATTTCAAGAGAAATTTTTAAACTTTCACGTTGAGAAATGACTTCCAATGTCCATGAGAACTCCAAAACGATCATTCATCCTCCCTCCCTCTCTCTCTCTCTCTCTCTCTCTCTCTCTCTCTCTCTCCATCTCCTCAAATTTCTAGTTTCCGCGCTTATCTATCTTACTCTAGACGATTGCGTAACTCCACGCGAGGATTGTCGGGATAATATTATATAATAGTGGTATTCACATTAAACATCCACTGGCAATCCAATGCAAATGACTGCTGTTATCCATTTTCAGTTACTGCGTGGATAAAAGATCATAGGATACTACGTCTTTCACCAGTGACAATTCCCAATTGATGGGCCATTGCATATTTTCGTTAAAGAAAGCTGTCGATTTATCTAATCGAGCTTCTTATTAGTCTAAAAAGTAATATATATACAATATTATGTAAAACTTTTATAAATCGTACATTACAAAATCGCCTATTTCTTAGTCAACGTGGAATCATCACTGTTACATAGCATTGCAAGTAAACGACAAATGCCAAAAAAATATTAAATACAAAATAAAAACAAAATATTCTTAACAATTCACAGTAACATTTTTCATCGTTCGCGTTTGAAATAATGATAAATTTTGATAATGCGGTATACACTAAGTAAAAATGAATAACATAGAATTCCAATGTATGGGCTTTAAAATCTCAAAATAATTAAGTATTCAAACGAGCGAATGCCAATTGTCATAATTCTCCGTTCAAATTTTATGACAAGTTTGCCATTTAAACGTACAATTTACACTGTATAAATTATAATAAATATTTTTTCCGCTACATTTAGTTCAAATAAATTTAAAATAAGCGATAAAACTAATAGCGGTTAAAACTCCGTAAATGTCGAAAAAAACTAATTCTTTTATTTTATATGCTTTTCATAATTTTTTAACTTTATACTGATATATTGCAAATTCTTATTTAAATACTAATTGTCAAAAATGGTTAAATTATTTTTTCTATTCTTATGATAATTCATATATATATATATATATATATCAATTTTTCAGGTAGTAGTGAAAGAAATTATAAATGTATACTCTGTTTTTCAAATTATATAATTTTTATCAAAAATATATGTGAGCAATTCATAAACGAGACGATGAATATTACAGTATGTCACATAGTAATATATCCAATGATAATTAATAGATCATTTATATAAATCATAACATCAAGAATTTCGACTTTTTTTCATGGTTTTTTCTTTTGGTAAATTCTTATTCAATTTTCGAAATTTTTGATATTTTTAAAATTTTGTGTTTTCATAATTTAAATACTTTTATTTGAAAAAAAAATTTTAGCTTAAACAAGCATTTTTTTATCAATTAGGGATATATATTAAGAAAGAATTATCTTTATGTATAATTTATAAATGATTTTTTCGATCCAAGTGACTCGTTAGATTATAGTTATTAATGATAATAATTTGTTAGATAAGTGCATATATATATATATTATATAAACTATGTTAAAAATGTGAAGATAATGGTAGAGAGAGAGAGAGAGAGAGAGAGAGAGATGAACGGACATGCAGAATAAGTTAGTATTCCACAATATTTTCAAAGAATTTTTTACCATTCATGGTTCATAGAGAATAATTATTTCAAGGATTTCTTCAATCAAAGTGGGTGTCAATTTTATTTTGTGACACAGGAAGCTGAATTGTTTTCTACTTCGATTATCCATATAAATGAAAAAAAGTTTCCTTCTTTAGTAACACGCTTTTTATGAATTTGCGCAATCTGTTACCATTTATTGTTTTATGATGATGTTAAGAACGTTAATATTTTTCACCTTTATCCTTTACAGCTTTTCAGCTGGTTTCATCATGTTTTGTAGTTGAACGTAGTAAAAAAAAACATAGAAAAACAGATGTTATATTTGCAAAGGATGCCAATTTCTAAAACTGTGAAAATTAGCAATAAAGTAATAAAAATAAATCTGCTACTGAATTGATATTCCTTATTAAAGATAAATTATTACTGATACTGAAATATATTTAATTTATAATATATGTTTTCCACTAATGTCATTATATGCATTAAAATTTAAATATAAATTTAATATTTTTCATAAATTAATGACTTGTAATGAATTATTCGAGAATTTCATGTTAATTGTAGAATTAAATTTTCGCGATCATAAAAAATTTAACTACTATATATTATTTTCGATTTGGTTGTGTACAAATTTATTTTGCGCAAATAATCGGAAGTATAAGTAAATATGTATTTATCTGAAATTTCTAATTCTCATCGACGATATTATTGATAATGCCGATTAACATTATATAGATATTTGATTAGATTCTCGTATTTGATGATAATCTGAATTAACTTTTTCTTTTACTTAACATTATGTCTGTTAACGATATTTTATATACTGTAATTATGTAGTTTTTAGGCTTGACTTTATGTACTTAAAAATATTGATGATATTTTGAATTTTATTCTTCCAAAATATTTTAAACAAACGATATCTATAATATAAAATAAAATCGTAGATAAAAAAAAATACATATAAAATTTGATTAATTTCAAATCAATACAATATTCCAATGAATTATTATTTATATGCTAGTAAATAATAAATTATTGATACTCTAACAAATTTATGAAAAATGAAATTATTACTTTTTAATATTATTAAGAAAATTTTTGAATAATTACCTTTTAAAGGTATTTAACGATATTTTATTCAGCAGCTATGTATTAAATAAAAAAATTATTAACTATTAAAACTTAATACCATATTAAAAATAAATATATATATATATATTTATTTATGGACTCGTGCGTGGACTTCAGTTAATTTGCAAAATATATTCATTTTGTTAAATTAGTATGGCTAATAAAGTTGTATTGACAGCATTTAAAGTAATTATATTTTTATCATAATAATAATTCATCATATTACAGCTGCATAAAATAATGATATTATTCGGAATTGGTTTAACAATTTATTCGATAGAAATATTTTACTAAAACATTTATATTAAATAAAATATTTTTCTACTGATATTTATTTACTTAATTTACTTATAGCAAATATTATTGAATTCATATAAGGCAATCAAAGACATTGTTTTCCAATTGCATACATAATGAACTTGAATATTTAACTGTATAGCTTTAAAAATCTACGTTAGCTGTATTCATGAATTAATAGATTTAAATAATATAATACATTCTAATTCTCGACGTTTTTGAAATCATTTTGATAACACACTATACGGAAAAATAAAGCAAATAAAATGTGAGTACAATAATGCAATTAGAATATAATTATAAATAAAATACGTAATAAGAAAAATATTATTATATAAAAATTATATATATATACATATACGGTTCGTTAATGCATCAATAATATTACTAAACAATTTCATGCTAGAATTCATTCATTATCAATAAGTTCAGTCATTATTATGTATTATTATTGTTAATATGAATTGTTCAATTCCACTACAATATTATAATCTAATTTAGCATAAATATTAGATACGATGAAATAAATTAAAAGTGCAAATATTATGAACGCACAGTATATAATGCCATTCGGTTCTTATATTTCATAGAGTAGACACTTGTAAAACTGCGAAACATTGTACTTTATAACTGCTATTTTTATCTTACTGCTTTTTCTATGTTATTTTTATTTTTATTCTTTCTGGTTTATCTGTCTATTAAATATTACAAAATTTCCATTACAGATTAGTAAGATTTTTTTTAAAATAATTAAGTAATTTTAATTTTAATTGATTTT